GGGAGCCCGATGTGGGGCTCAATACCAGGACCCTGGGATCATGACCTGAACCGAAGGCAGACGCTTAATGACTGAGCCACCCAGGCGCCCCCGGAACAATTTCATATTGCATAAAATTGCCACCTAGGGCTCCAGACTCTTCTTGTCATGTCCTTTCCCTTGTCAGTGGCTCACAGTTTCTGCTCCTCTCCTCTCCCCAGATACCTTCCTGTCATTATTGATTCACACTTTAGATTCGAAGTATGATTTTTTTTTTCCATTCTCTAACAAGATTGTATTTCTCTCAATAATCTTAAGCCTTGCTCTAAGATGGAGCCTCAGAGTAAAATTGTTCTAATTACTTTGTCCAAGCCTGGGGACAGGGAACAGAAAATGGAAGATTCAAAAATTTCTCCCCATTCACTCATACTCAGTTTCTTGACCAAAGAATAGCAAGGTTGGGGTTTTTGTGTGTTATTTGTTTCATTTGTTTGTTTGTTTATTTGTTTGTTGGCATAAGAAGCTATCACGCAACAAAGGATCATGTAGAAAAATATGCTTGCTACAACACCAAATTATATGCTCATTTCTTGGAACAAATAAGGAATAGAAAAAGCTGTACAACAGAACTGCTGAATCTCCCTTATCAATTTCCAGCCACAGAAGCAAGTATACTATTTAGTATAATGATTTCCTATAATTTACTCTATCTGAAGAGACTTCCTGGAAGCACCCACAATTTTCTTAGAGCCTAGTGATTAGGCCTGCCTGGGCCCTTACCATATTTTATTACTCTGGAATGCATAATGTGTGGAGCATCCATCCCCTGTCTTCACTGTGTTGTGTGCTCCCTGAGATCAGTGAGCCTTTTACCAAAAGAGGGTCAACATTTGGGGTTTGATTAAATAATCAAATCTTTTTTGAGCTTTTAACAAGTGGTTAATATTTTTTAAAAATAAACTCTACCCCCAACGTGGGGCTCAAACTCACAACCCCAAGATCAAGAGTCACAAGTAAGCCAGCCAGGCACCCCTCTTTTCACAAATATTATCCCAGGCAGAAACCCACCTGCCACAAGACATCTTAGAGGTTTGCTGGCATCCCAAGAATTTAGGCCTACAAGTAAAATAATAAATGTAAAGTCAGGAGTACAAAGGTAGGGGAATGTGAACAAATGTAATGTACAGTACTCCCTTCTTATTCATGGTTTTGCTTTCCACAGTTTCAGTCACCTGCAGGCAACTGCAATCCAGAAGCAGATAATCCTCCTTCTGATGAATTATCGGAAGGCCAATATTTTACTGAGCTTAATCTGTAAATTAAACTTATCATAGCTAGGTGTACGTAGGAAAAAATCATAGTATATACAGTATTCGGGCGTCTACTGGGGGTCATGGAATATATCTGCTGCAAATAATGGGGGACTTCTTTATTGACTTATTGCATGCCCAACCCTTCATATACATTCACTGAAGTAATTTAGCTTTATAAATTAGTCATTTTATTATTAGTAATGAATGAATTGACTCTCAGAGAGTTAAAGTCAAAATTGGATTTTAAGCCTTTAAATTGCCTCCTAGTATATCCGGTGGTGGCTGGAAGTAAAGTTTGAGAATAAATTCACTAATAGAAATCTATATTGAGCAATTAAGTAATGTCAAGGAAAATTATTATGATCACCAAAACAGCAGTTCAACATTGCGAAAATTGTGGGTTAAGTTTTAAAGATTTCATCACTACATCAAAAACTAATGATGTATTGTATGGTGACTAACATAACATAATAAAATAAAATAAAAAAATATTGAAGTAAGTCCATTATTTGGAGGATTGTTTAAAAAAAGGAACAAAAGTGAAAGTGCCGTCTCATCTGTAAACAAAGCAATAGACATTTTGCCTCTATTAGGTAATGTCAGCTGACCCCAAACACTCATATGAAATAGCTCATGAATGCTGAATGAATAATCTAGGACTTGATAATGCTATACTCGGATGGAACCCTTCTTATATTTCCTCAGACACATTTTTTAAAGCATGTATCTTTATTCTTAAATTATTAATAGGTTAAAATCAATGTAGCTGATCATTCACAACAACTTCTGTAGCAGGCTAATTACTCCTGCAACTTCTAAAACTGAGTTAAGTGGCAAAACAGAAGCTGATACTAAGTCTAAGTCTATAATGTAAGAAACCTACATTGTTTCCTTTATACCTCCCTCAAATCTCTTTCATCTGCATTCTTAATGCTAAAAACCCTCCATTGCCATTGACAAGTGTTTAAATATAAATCCTACAACAATCACTGCAAACCATGTATTCACTGTCCCCCACACTTTGTCAGTTCATCGAACAATTCTCTACAGCACAAGAGCCATGAAATAAGCTACCGTGAAAATGCACAGCTCTTTTTTAAAAACTGGTTAAAAGTAGTTTCAGGTTGCAAATTATATTAAAATTGGATGTAAGGAGGTGTGTAAATTTATGATGCCCAATTAGCTTTATGCAAATTTAAAGTATTATAGGCACAGAATTCAATCTAGATTGGACACAACATGAGTTAATTATCTTTATTCTCACTCCAGGGTGAAACTAAAATAAGAGAATTTTCCAAATATATGTGTATATATATATACATATATATACACACACACAGACACACATATACAAAAACATAGTGACTGTGCCATCCATTAATTCTTTCTAATATATTTTTATATGTAATTCACAAAAAAAGAAAATTGTCCCACAAAAAGGATGGAAAATGTGTGGTCTGTGACCAAAAACAATCTGTAAGTGCGTGGGTAAATCTAAACACATGTTGATACAATAAAACTGGAATGTCCCCATTAGTGATAACTAGAAGATTAAAATCAGAAGAGTGGACAACAATATCTGTTAGTAAGAGACTGGAGAGGGAAATTCTTAGATACACTATTATGAAGACATCAAATTGTTAGAAAAGAAGGTGGAGAAATTTATTCACTTAAACTTTTAGTGAAATGGATTTGATAATTTCAATAATAGCCACTTAAAAGGTAGAAATAGAGGATATAATTTCCATGATGCTAAGAAAAACATGTAATGAACATGTAATCTGCATACAGAAAAGAAAACAATAAAATAACATGGAGATGAAAAATATTATGGGAGAAATAAATCCTAATATGTAACATTTTCATATTAATGAAAATGCAAGATTACTTAATACTGAATAATAATGCAAATACCACCGTTGTAGATTATGGGATGCAGCCCAAATGGAACTTAGATGTTTATACTTTTAAAAGGCTCTATAAAAAAGGACAATTTATTGCACTTAAGTGATTGCATTTGAAAAACAAATAGGCTAATATATTCATGAAATAGAAATCGGATTTAAATAGCAAGAAAAAGATAAACTATACCTAACGAAGGAAACTGTAAGTAAATTACTGAAAATAGCTGGAATAGAAAACAAATACATAATGGAGATGATCAAAAAAACCAAAGACTGCTCTTTGAGATAAAAAAAAGCAACCAGTGCTTGTGAACAGCAATTTTATGATGTCATTGTTGAATTATTTTTCTGCTAATATTCCTTTGGACGCATTAATGACAATAACATTTCATGTTCTTCCATTACCGTGCTTTATACATATTCTTCCCTTCTACCCAACCTTCTGGATCAAAGTAGTGCAAACAGCATGATTTTCTGCACACATACCAAAATTCAAGAGTATTTCCTTAAAGGAACAGATCTGAGATGGAGGTGAATCCAGAAACCATCCACTTTGGTTGCGTGGAGTATAGACCAAACTGCTTTATCAGACATTAGGACATAAGTGATCTAAATCTAAGCTGATAATTGGGACACTGGATTTTGCATTCTGAAGGAAGATAGCAGTCAAAATAAATGAGAAAATGCAGGGAAAAAATGAAAGGGCAAGTACAATTGTAGTTGGTTCTGACTCCTAAGATTTACTGTGCATAGGGCTCCAGGAAATGGAGTAAATTGCTTAAGATGGCAACCAGTAATTCACAGGATGAGGCTTCGAAATCAAATCTAGCCAACAGTGGAGTCCTTGCTTTTCCTTATGAAATATTCTTAGAGGACAGGAATATGATTCTGATTTTTGGTATGTTTTGACTTAGTCTCACCTTAATGACTCAGATTTAGAAGGCTTCTCTTTTTAAGATTTCCAAAAAAGAAGGCTTGACAAGTTAGACAGCAAGCATGTATCTCATTAGCTTCTAGCAAATGTCAGATTTATTTACACATTCAGAGAGTTAATGATGCATTTCTGGATGTTTTCTTATAAGTAACTATTTTCCACCTAATTTTAGAACACCTTGAAAGTTCTATTATTTTGTGACTTGTGAAAATTCAATCATCTTTTAGTTTCAGAAAACAAATACTTTCTGTGAATGCATGGAAAGCAGTATATGCAGAAATCTATGAACACATGGAGAGTAGTATATAGTATTATTCTATCTACTCTATATGCTGTGTACTTTGTATAGTCTTTATATATAATTGATTTACTCTGTAGTTTATACTATCTATATTTCTATACTCTATGCTCTATACATTGTTATATGTATATGATATTTTTCTGACGGAGGAGATATGCATGATAAAACTTCATAGGACAATGTAAACCTGCCTCTTCTTAGAATTGTGATTAATATCATACTTCTTAAGCATGTGAGAAATTATGTGACAAAAAACAATGTTATAAGTTACTTATTTCCATGCAATCCATCCATCTCTTATTCAGTCTAATTAAAAAAAAAATGAGCAGATTTTTTTTTTACCATTACAATTCTGTTTACGCATTCACTTTAAAAGAATAGCAATAAAAAAATAGCAATCAGTCCATATTTTCCCAAGCAGTTTTATTAGGATAAAGACTAAACTGCTGGAAAACAAACAAAAAACAATGCCTTAGGTTAACTGAAGTTTAGCTAATGCACATGGAACGATTTAAAAGTCCAAAGAGCCTAGGCAAATGAGGCTTTGCTCTGTGATTTTTTTCCTATGGCTTCATTTTCTTCCCAGGCACTACTCCACCATTTTCATAGATGTTGCTTCCTCAGGATGGTTGATGACGCACTTCTGCCACATCAACATTGCAGTCCCTAGGCAGGAAAAAAAAAGAGGAGGAACAGGGTAAGATCTTTTAAATACCTCTCACTTCTGTTCATACTTTACTGATGAGAACTGGAAACCAAAGCAAAGTCAGCTGTATGAAGATGAGAAAAGTAGTTTACAGCTGTGCAGCCTTGTGCCCAGAAAGAAGGGGATGGATTTGGGGGGACAGCCTAAAGACTGCCAGAGTCCTTCCTGTGGCCACCTGAGCACATTTCTTCCAACAAATCGAACTCACTCTCTAGCTGAAGGACAAAACCAAAGGTCCTACCCAGTGGCCACATTTAGCTCAAAGCCTCTAATATGTGGCTAATAGACATTGCTATCCATTACGAGCTGCTGTGTATTCTACTACCTGGCAACTTACAAACTAACAGAAAAACGATCTGCCCTCTATACCCATCCTCAACTTCCACACACACAATTGCATATGCCCCAACATTTCTGGGGACAGAAGCATAAATACAAATGGAGGCTTACATAGCATGTACCAAAATATTGAAAAATTATAAATCAAGCAAATGGATTATTAAATAACTTTTATCCACGTACTTTAAGAAATTCATAATTCCCAGACTCGTTTGTCCATCTCTGAGCATGGTAACACAGAGATAAATGCCCCCCCTAAACCTTTTGGTCCTTCCTTCCCTTCACATCCCTCTTTTATGGTCAACTGTGTGACACTCAGCCTGCAAGTCCAGGGTACATTCAAAGCTCCCCTGAAGAGCTGCCCATTAGTCAGTCCTTGGGCTTACACTAAGGCCAACTGTGGAGCGGGCAACTCTCAGGAAGAGGATGTGGGTAAAGTCTGTGAAAAACCTGGAGGCCAATATGGGACTGTTTGGACAGGGTATTCTGGGCCCAGGTATCTGAAAGAGCCTAGAAGTAGAAGATGGGCTCCAGCTGAGCATTGTTGTTACTTGGCCTATGGAATTCTCACCTTGATGATTGGAGCAAGGCTGAAGAATGAAGGAGCCATACCTGCCAATGCATGGAGCCCAAGGCAGCACTCCTTCTTGCCTGGGTCCAAAACTGACAGTGAGAATCATATATGACGGTGGGATAGGAACAAACAAATGCTACTGAAAAACAAAACAAAACAAAACAAAACAAAACAAAAACAATTCCACCAAGAAAAGAGAGTGAAAAACAAGTCCATCAGTCCATGGCAATGCTGAAATCCTGGGCAGAAGCAATAAAGGCTGGTTTTACTGAATGTTGCAGGAGTTCATTGGTTGGATTCTTCCTGATCTGTGGCAAAAACCACCTTGTTTTCAGTCTTCCTTGGCACTTGACTCTGATTTCTGGGAGGTTCTTCATTGTGTCCATAATCTCCTGTGGCCAGATCTAAAGAAAGTTTATATTCTCCTTGGAGATGCAGTTTCACAAACTCCTTCCTGCAGTTGCAATTCTAGGAGGCTGAAAACTCTTTTAGAGATAGACAATCAGATTATTGTAGGCCGGACTTGTAATTTCTTTGTAATTTTTCTCTCAAAAGTTAATGGGCTTCTGATTTATTTCCTTCCCCCTAGTACAGTATTTGAGGAACAAATACCAGTGTTTGTTTATGAATATTGTTCCAAGCCTGTCTTAAGATTTTATTTTGTGTGGGCGCCTGGGTGGCTCAGTTGTTAAGCGTCTGCCTTCAGCTCAGGTCATGATCCCAGGGTCCTGGGATCGAGCCCCGCATCGGGCTCCCTGTTCCGCAGGAAGCCTGCTTCTCCCTCTCCCACTCCCCCTGCTTGTGTTCCTGCTCTCGCTATCTCTCTCTGTGTCAAATAAATAAATAAAATCTTTAAAAAAAAAAAAAAAGATTTTATTTTGTGGGACCTTTTCTCCCTAACTTGTTTGAATGAAGATAACTTGAAGACTTCTTGATACAATAGGCTGGGGTAAGGGCAACACTCATTTTCTTACAATCACCCCGAGTTTAGGTAACTTTTCTTGGCTGAGGAATCATAAACAGAGGCCTTGATAAATGTTCTGAATAACATTTTTATTTTCCTATGTTTGAGGAATAAGAAATGAGATTTTCCAACCCTGAAAAGCCTGGTATTTCTGGACTTTCCCTTTCTTCTTGTTTTGAAAGTAAGTCAAATCTTGCCTGAGGTGTTTTCTCAATTGTAATAATTTGCATATAGCAGCAAGATTCAGGCAATATACATTCACATTATGGCTCTTTACAACCATTTCCCCAGAGGTTGGGGAACAGAGACTCGACAGGCATGTGTTCTGCTTTACAAGTTATCAAAGACAACAGGTTACCAATGATGATGGCATAACAAGGGTCATGACCTTCCAATCTTCATGGGTCCATATTTCCTAACCACTGATCCAATGCCACATATTTGAGGTTTCTGTTATAGCAGCAACCCACTTGGGACTTTAACTTCTGTTTTATTTTGATTAAAGTTTAGGCAATGGCAAGAAGTCTCCAAATACAGTAAACATAAATAAAGGAACTACAGTTTCTAGTCTCGCCAGCAGCTAGGTACAACCATATGCCCAGGAAGACTCGGGGAGTGTATTTGGGGATAATAACTGGCATATCACTTTAACTTTTAAAAACTGAAATGCCATTGTCACTGCAAAAAAGTACTCTGCAAAGGTCAATAATGGTCACCTAATGATTAAAAGCAAAAATATCCTTTTGCCCAAATCCTCTTTCCCTAACTCATTTCCTACTCTTTCATTCCTCTTTCTTTAACACCTCTGCATTGGACAACAACCCTCACATCTTGAGCATCTGTTCTTTTTTAATTCGTCAGAGATTCAGCTCTTTAACTCTTCCTTTCTTTTCCACAGTTTTTGCCTTCACTTTTGCAAGCTCTAGATCTCTTTGGTTGTATTTTTCTTATTCTATGTTGTATAGTCAATCTTTAATTTTTATCTCTACTTCCTAGATTTCTCTTTAAATCTCCACTCCCTATTTTGGATTGTCTGCAAGATGTCTCTACATAAGATCCTCACTTTCCAAGTTTAATTTTCCACTTTTCCTCCAGAATCAACTAAAGGACACTGCCTATTCTTCCTAGTCCAGACTGTGTCATTCCTCATGGTATCTCCTTCTTCATTTTGCATATCTTTGTTTTGCAATTTTTTTTGTCAACACATTGACACACTATGCCATGTTTATGTCAAATGCTCATGGGGCACCTGGGTGGCTCAGTCGGTTAAGTGTCTGCCTTCAGCTCAGGTCATGATCCCAAGGTCCTGGGATCGAGCCCCACATTGGGCTCCCTGCTCAGCAGAGAGCCTGCTTCTCCCTCTCCCTCTGCTGCTCCCCCTGCTTGTGCTGCTTTCTTTCTGTCAAATAAATAAATACAATCTTTAAATAAAAAGGTTGTATTTATTTATTTGACAGAGAGAGACACAGCGAGAGAGGGGACACAAGCAGAGGAAGTGGGAGAGGGAGAAGCAGGCTTCCCGCTGAGCAGGGAGCCCGATGCGGGGCTCGATCCCAGGACCCTGAGATCATGACCTGAGCCAAACACAGACGCTTAACAACTGAGCCACCCAGGCGCCCCTAAGTAAATACAATCTTTAAAAAAATAAAATGTCCATAGAAATTCAGTGTCGTATGAAGATTCCATCCTTCAAGCTTCCATACAGCTCTATATCTTCTTTTGGGACTCGGACATTAACCAAAGTTCTTGGCTCTACTCTCCTCTTCAAAGGTCATCCTCTCCTAAAATGTACTGTGGAATACTAGGATTTGTCTGACGTCTTTCGAGGCACGTGCTACTTTGCAAATCATGCTTCTGCTCCGTTTCTAACTCTATGATGAGCAAATCCGCTCAGAGCAAATGCTTTCCGAGCGCTCCCAAAGTGATACAAGCATCTCTGAGAAGACACCAGGGGAGACTTCGAGGTGGTCAGTTCACTTTCCTGTATGACCCTACAATCTTGGTGTGCACAGTAGCCATGTACAAGTCTGTCATCTGTACAAATTTTGCAGTGGTTGCATAATTCAGGAAAATTAAATCGAAAGAGAAAAAAAATTAGAATTGTTCTAAGGTGCTTTCATAGATCATAAAAATGCACACAGACTAAAACATTAAATACAGTTGCTTGTGCTGTCAAGTCCCAGTTTCAAGACTTGCTTTCTTTCCCTTGGGTTCCATATCTTATGTCCAATTTGTTTATTCTCTCTTAGGTGGATGAGTCATCACCTAAGTTTGATTTTGTCTATTTGTTAGCTTTTTTGTTTAATTCAATGACTACATTTTTGTTTACAGAATTTTTTTTTTTTCATTTTACGGAGCTTTTGGTATTTCTGCTCTTTTTGTATGATCTCCTTTCTTTTCACAGTTTCTAGTCCATTTTTCACTTTAAACACTTTAAACATGTTTATTTTAAAATCCCTTTCATGTTCCCTATTATGTCTAGCTCTGTGTAAATTATTTATTGTGTATCATTGTTTTCTATTGTATCTGAGAGCCCTGGAATGAAGACTTCCTATAAAATATTTTATTTATGGGCGCCTGGGTGGCTCAGTCGTTAGGCGCCTGCCTTCAGCTCAGGTCATGATCCCAGAGTCCTGGGATCGAGTCCCACATTGGGTTCCCTCTCGGCAGAAAGCCTGCTCTCCCTCTCCCACTCCCGCTGCTTGTGTTCCTGCTCTCGCTATCTCTGTCTCTGTCAAATAAATAAAATCTTAAAAAAAAATTATTTATACTTTGTAATCCATATGGTTAGCCTCAATTCTAACCACTTTTGGAAATTAATTTTTGATCTGGAGTTTGTACAATTCATTCGTGACTTATAAGCATCCTGCTTCATTATTTCATATCTGAGACACTGTGGTAAAAATTTATAGTCTCATTTCCAAGATAAGCCAGCATTGCTTCATTGATGATCTAATGCAAGATGCTCAGTGTCATCTCTCTGTGAGATGTGCTGAATGTGAAGGTCTATAGTATGGCCAGTTTTCTTACTGGAATTTATGTGCATATCACCTTTTGGTACCCACTGAAATGTTTAGCCTTAATTCCCACTCACAGTTCTAATTCATCCTCTTTTTACTTGTAACTTGGAATTAATTTCTTTCTTCTTTTGATTAATTACATATGCTTAAAACATTAACTAGAATTTGTATATTTTTTAATGCAACTACTCTCATTAATTCAGTCCACCATTGACAGGAATCCCCTCTTTCCCAGCCGAGTGCATTGTTTTTCAAACATGCAGCTATTAATCTTGATTCTTTAAGAAGAAATGTAACCCTTACCCATTTTAACCCAGGCTCTAGCCCCTTGCCCTCATTAGCACATTTCAGCAGATCTGAAATACACACTTGAGAAAAACATAGTATGAGATCTAATAGCCCTAGGCTGGACTTCGCACTTCAAGATGCACAGGGCATTTTAGGAGGGCAATCTAAGTCCCATCTCTTTAAAGATTTCTCTGTCTGCATGATAGCTCAAGTACTTCCTGACATTTTTTGAGATTAGCTAACAATTAGATCCAATAACCATATACACAAACATTAGAGCACAAATAGTCTCAGATGCACTGACATATAAAATCACAATGAGAGAAATATTTTCCTATCTGTCCAAAGTTCCTACTATGGGGATATGATGTAAATTTATTATCAGAAAAATGTCAAAGTTCTCCTCTCTATTTATTGATGTTTTCACGCTATGTCACTCAGCAGAGTTGTCCTAATTTTTTTCTTTTCTTTTCTTTAACCCACCAATTGGTTACAGTAAGTTGGGATTTTCAAATTTACCGCTTCTGTCACTCTGGGTCAAACCAAAATCTGAGCTCAAGCACCATTTTCCCATACAAAGATTTAGATACTCTAATAAAAGCAGATACTCTGGGTCAGCGGAGCTAGAGGAGGGAAATCAACATTTTCGTTAACTCTGATCTTGTGTGTATATTTGGGGATTTTGTCTTAGCCAAGGTACTAGATTATAAGTTTTTAAATATAAAGGGAGTTTTTCTGACATTGTGTCTTCTGGAAGTTAGTTTAAAATTTTTTAAATTTCTTAATTAAATTTTAATTATAGTAATGTTAGTTTAGAGCCACATGAACTCCACAGGACTGAGAATTCAAGCCCACAAAGTGTCTTTTGGTATGAAAAGTTCAGAGGTTTTCATTAGGAAACCAGACATATTGTCAATGTCTATTTATGTATATGTTACATAGTTGATCTAAGAATAATTATCTTTCCCCACCAAAGTCTAAAAAATTAGTAATAGTACATGATATTATAATTTGCAATCTTTCTTTACCAGGAGATAAAACAAATAATTACGTAAGGAGAAAAAAAAGTGTTTATTTGCTGGACGTTCTTGCTGGATATTCTTTTTAAGAACCTATGGATAGGGCGCCTGGGTGGCTCAGTTGATTAAGCGACTGCCTTCGGCTCAGGTCATGATCCTGGAGTCCTGGGATCGAGTCCCACAT